CCCTGTGACAGCGGACGAGCCGAGAAGGAGGAGACTTATAAGATAAGCACGCTACCAAAGACAAAGACTATTAGACCGGTATTAAAGACAAGCTCCCCGATCCTGAATACGGTGTAGCCCCATAAAGGCCCCCCCCCCCGCATTTAACGTCACAATATTAAGTTTATCTTTTATTGTACAGTCTTGGGATTATGAATATGCAAATCTGGTTATCACTGTCATTGCGGCGTTATAGTTGGTTATAACTGGTCATTATGAAAATGTGGACCAAACACTAACAATTTTAAAGCGCGGTAGTCGTCGCGCTGCGCATCTGCGAGATATATGGGTATCATATAAACAAAGATGGCGACTTTTACTGTTGTGCAGATCAACGAGTGCGAACTGGCACGTTTTCAAGCTTTAATTGGGTAATTTTCATGTGATTGGAAGGTATCGAAGGAGTAACCGGCGGTAATCTGTGCAATTTGCGCCCAGGTCAAACCTCATACTTTTGATTTCCATTTGAAGAGCGCATTGGATTGTGGGAAAATCAATGTTTATGAACACAAACGTTAAGTAACAATTTCTAAAACATTATAAATATGTTTTTCTAGGTCGAGTGTTTCCGTTGAGTTACAAGTGAAATTAAAATGGCAGGGAGAAAAACTTCTAACGTTTCTAAAAAGGTCAACGACAGCATAATGAATACTGATAGGATGGATGTTCTGTTGGGTAGTCGTAGTCAAGTCATAACTTCGCCATTTTACTGATGGCTGGAGCAAATATTCCCACAATTAATTTTAGTTGGGTAATTTCATTTTGGGGAATAATACCGACATACAGTATTAGACATTGGACTCTACAAAAGTGCTCACCCAAGAAAAAAGGAGAGAAGTAACCTTCATTAAAATATGTTCGTCGAGAACTAACCCCCTCCCAGCAAGCGCGTGGTGGTGCCATTCAATAAACGTAATGTTAGCACAGACCATGAATACAGGTGGTCGCAATCCAAGAAACCCTTGCATCCTTGAATTTCGAATACAATATACTAGAATGTGCTGTTCCAAACATTCTTGGTCGCCATTTACTATCATGCAACACCTCAAACGTCATACACAATTATTTAAAAAAATGAAAATAAACACTAAAATTGTACTAGTTAATGAGTGGGACGCGAATATGGCGTAAAATACACTTGTACGTCAACAGGTTAGTTTAAGTTGACAAATCTGAATAAATTGAATGTCGGACTTTAATTTTAAACTCAATAGTTGAACAAATTTGAAATACTGAAAATCCAAATAAGTCAGTAATATTACGTCTAGAATCACAGGCATGCACGCTGTCACGGTTCGGAACTCGTTTTAGCCGCCATCATATCCCATAGAACTAGAAAAACTGATACATCAGTCTGGAATACACGTCATCATCTACACGTCATCTAACGCGGTGGATTAGCAAAATATATACGACTACCAAATAAAACATTTAATTTTCGATTAAATATTCTAAAATAAAACTAAAATACTAATACTACATAGTAGCATATCGATTACATTAAGTTGCACAAAAACAAAAACGTTGTCTACACTGACTCGTTTGGCTGACATTTACCACGGATACTACACCTCCAAGAATTCTGAAATATGGCGTGCGAAAAAAAAAAGAAAGAAATTAAATTATACGAAAATGAACAATCGATACACTCACTCATGCGTATATGTTTGGAATTGCGCATGTTTGGAACTGCGCATGCTCGGGCCTCTGCTTCAAAATTTCCGCGTAGATGGGTTGATTCATATTGCTCGGGTGTTTCGATTTTCACAGGATTTAACTCGTTTTAGTTCGAATAAAGGTAACGCAAGTCGATCGATAGTTTCTACCGATGTCATGCTTGAGTTATGTGAAGCGGATCAAAATATAATTTGGAAAATCGTGTTATTTTCGGGAAGTTTCGATGTCAACGCTTTCCTACCTTGTGTTATTATATGAGTAGTAGGAGAATGTACCGGCGACTGACTAAACTATGCCGATCCTAGCTGCGGTTCCGTAGCTCTTTGGTGCGACCTACAATCGAATTTCGCCCAAACAATTTCATTTGGACGTCTTTTTTTTAATTTTGTTGTACGTCGAACATCGAGCTACGGGATCTATCACCGTTTAAAAACAGAAATCTGGCATACGTAAATTAAATCGCTTTTGCTTTCGATTACGATGGTGTGACATACCTTTATTGTGAATTGATAGCTGGATGAATAACATACAAACTTTTGTTTGCAATTTGTGTTTATAAATAAGCAATAATTTGTGATATTTTACAATTACCGCGGAAACCAAGCAAATTACGAGAAAACGACAGCCATTGACATCCCACACTCCCTAGCGCAGAATAAATATAATCTCGTTTGGCGGTCATGTGATACAGTGGTGGAAGAATAAAACTCACTCTTCCCGTTATTCTAATTGTTCCAACAAAGCAATCACATACAGTATTTATAATTGTATGATTTTTGTTTAATAATAGAAACTAGTTGCATAAACGCAATTTATCTACTGATTTCGGTCACGTGGTACAAAATTATAGGTCTCGCGTAATTTGCTATAGGTCTCGCGTAACTCTGTAGTCCAAAATGGCGTCTTTCGTCTTGTTATTCTGCGACTCGGTGTACGGTAAATAAAGTCAATTTTTATGACCACCGTCATCATTTCACAGCGCAGATAGGTTCTGGTCATTGTTTGGAAGTAAATAAACATAGTGAGTACTTTCGAAGGTCTTAAAATGTGATTTTCGCGACGACCAAATTTGGCATGTGGATTTTAACCGGTATTCAGTCGCACAAGGCCCCATAGCCCTATGGGCCGGCCAGAGTCAGTCACGTAAATAATGCGGTCGGCAACATAGGGCTATGATTCCACAGCTATGCCGATCCCACTTTAGGTCATTTTTTATTATCCAGGAAACGTTCCGAGCGCATGTGGTGTACATAGCATCAAATGGAGATATGCCGTCTACTGTATGTGTGTCGTGTAAGCGTCTAGTGTGCCCTGGAGGAAGAGTAAAAGAAGGAAATTTCCATATACTAATACGCAATGAAACTATTACAGGTATGAATATATGTGGGCGGCCCATCTGCTGCCGAGTGATGAGTCTGAAGGTCAGAGGTCAAATGAATGGTACATTTGGAATTTCTGCTTCCTGATATTCTATATTTTGCAACCATATTATTGAAAATAATACACAACATATGTTAAATTCTTGCCCTTTTCATTAAGAAATGATTCATAATCATAATATGCAAAGCTTGAACTTTGAACTTGAGATACTGCACAATGTTTACAGTAGTGTTCCTTTTGTACCCTACACCCCTAATCCTAACTCTTACCCTCACCCTAAGCCCTCCAATTCAATTGTACAGGCCCCCTCTAGATATTAACTATAGGTTACCTTAGGAAGTGCATATACAATATATATATTACGTATATAATTGGGGAGTGCACACACATATCTATGCAAATTCAAGGCTTCACCGAGACATTGATGCCTATATGAATTTTGGCTTTGGAAATGGTTGCCCTCGTACCAATTCTGGGAAACAGTCGTAATATTGGGCCATTCCAGTTTAAATCTGCACCCCCCTGTTGATGAGGTCAGATTTCCAGCACTGTATGATGGGGAAAATACCCCGGATTTCCAACTGTATATGGAAAAACAGAATCCAAAAATCCAGACGAGTATGGAAAAAAAAATTCTGGAAATCCAGGCAGTTATGGCTGCAAAATAAAATATGGCCTAGCTTATCTCACCACATACCGGTTGATGAGGTTGGATTTCCAACACTCTATGACTAAAAAAACTTGGAATTCTGACTGTATTGGGCCAGTATGAAATAGATAATGATTGTGGGACAAATGAGCTCATCAACACCGTGAATCAGGACTAGTTTGGATTTCCATTATCAGATATACAATTTTGAACTTGGTAAATTAGCATATGATGAGACACAGTCGACTGTGGATGAGAGTTATATTTGGAAATCCTACTCTGTATGGTGTCACAAAGGAACTCATCAACACTGTAAGTAGGACCTATAGTTTTGGATTTCCATTACTGTATGGTGAATGGTGATTTAGAAATAAAACTTTGTATGACTTATACACCCATAGAAATTATACCCTGTATAAAGTAAACACACAAACTCATCAACATGGGGGCGTGCAGATATAAACTGGAATGGCCCATTATTACTTTACACTCACTGTAACCGTCCTTGGAGACTAAGCGAAGGAGTTGTTTTGCTTCGCTTTTTACCGGTACAATGTTTGTAAAATATTTCTGTGATGTTTTCATATTAGTGTAATTTAGAATGCAGCTCTCAGTACAGTCCTGTAGGTTGGACTGTGCCCAGGGCTAGAAAAATCACTGCCTTTTTCAAAGGAAACAAATATTAACATTTTACAAGTTTTGATTTCAAGAGCTCAACAGGATTTTCTTTAAAGATTTAAATTGTTTGTTTTTCTAGAAATATTGGATAAAGCTGACTTTCAACCAGAGTCAGTCGATCACCATTATACTGCTGATATTGTAACGCCAGGTTTTATTGACATTCATAACCATGGAGTGGGACGCACTGAAGGTAAGGCATCATTGGTACGGTATGCTGTCCGTGCATCATCAGTATGCTATGCTTTCTGTGCATCATCAGTATGCTATGCTTTCTGTGTATCATCGGTATGCTATGCTGTCTGTGCATCATCAGTATGCTATGCTTTCTGTGCATCA